TTAATCAATGAAAATTAATAATTCCCCCCCCCCCCCCCCCCCAATCAATATTTGAGATGCTAGTGCACTAGCTCTCGATGTGACTTCATAAAAATCAATCAAAGAGAAGATACTATTGACCTACAATTGAGTATAATCATAAAGTTTTAATTATAACAAAAAAAGGTTAATCTTGTTTACTAATAAATTGAACTTAAGTGATTTTAATCTTCAAAGCATTCGATGATAAAATTAATCAATCACCGTCAAAAGATTAAAATCAACACTATCATCGCAAATTGGATTCACGAAGAAGGTCAAGATCGAAGTCATGTATTCAAGACAAAATCCTTCAAGATTAAGAGCTTATGAGCCAAACTTCAAAGAAGAAAAAAGATTAGACTTTTTAGTTTAAATGTAAAGGTACTAATACTTTGATCTTTTAGTAAAGAATGATTAAAGCTCAAAAATCATTTTATGCACTAAAAGCTATATCGATTATCTCTTGCATAAAATATTTTGGTCAATGATAAGATTGATTTTCAAATGACATTTGAACTTAAATCATATTTCTAAAACATCATTTATCCCTGAAAAATTAGTTAAAAATGCTTTTCAAAAGTCCACATTTTTCAAAATATTCGGAATGGATCACACGGGGCCAAAATGAGAAAATCGGCTGGACTAATGATCAATTGAAACGATGGTTCAAAATTTGAACATTCTAACTTGTGACCTTTTTGACCAACGACTATATTTTAATCATCCAAACTTGTACGAGTCAACTGGATCATCATCCAAACTTACAGAAAGGTTTTACAACTTGTCTCCATAAATAGTTTCTTTTTCTACGTTCAAATATTCAATGGAAGGTCTTTCAAGTACATTAAAGAGAAAAATATTTTGAGCCAATCTTTGAACCTACATTACCTTTATTATTTTTTCATCTTCATATTGAAAAGTTTTGATTGATTAAATCAAATTTTTGATTGATAGAATCAAATTTTTGATTGATAGAATCAAATTTTTAATTATCATATTCATCAAAGTTTCTCCCCTAATACTTGAGCTATTATTCAATTCTAGTCGTTGAAATGTCAAGTTTCTCTTGGTACTTAATTTATTTGTTTCATTTATAAGAGAGAAGTTTCGTTGTAAACTCATTTCTATAAACTTGTGGGGTCATATTGAGGTCCTTTGAAAACTCAATATTGAATGAAAATTGGTACTCTTTGTTTGTAAGTCATCGAAAATGTTGTAAAGCTTTTGATTGCACCATTCAACATAGTGAAAAAGCATGACGTGTGACGAAGAGCTTGGTAACGGAGGATGTAAATCATTAGTTTGGATTGAACCTCCATAAATTTATTGTTTACATCCTCTCTAACATTTTTTTTTTTTTTACGATAATTACTTGATTGATCAATGTGTTTGTGATTTACATCATATGAAATTATATTATCGAAAAAGTTTCAAAAATCAATTCATCCCTTCCCTCTTGATTATTCTTGGACTATTGGATGGAGGAGAATGAAAAGCATATGGTGATAATTGAAAATTTACTGTATTTACCTATTGTGGAATCAAGACTTGACTGGATGAATCAAATGTATGATCTCTATCTCTGAGTTTCTTGGTCATCAACTCATGTATTTCATTGTATTGTTCCTTTTACGCCTTATGATTGGGCATTTGGACCTACTTTAGATAAATTGTGATATGCAGCTCTTGTTAGTAAATATCCATGTCTGATTTACTTTTAAACACGGTCAAAGATAAATGTTCTTCCTCCGTGGGACTTGTTAAACTGAAAATAAGCACGTCTAGTACATATTCAAGACATGCATTTAATAATATAGTGTCATACATTCAAACTAATGTAAAATTATCTCGTTTTGCGTATCACTTCGAGCATTATGTTGTTTCTCTCTTTTCAATAGAGGATCTGCAGTTTTCTATTTGTACAAGTAAATACTTCATTATGGTTTGTTATGTTGGAGTGAGACATACATTTTTGTCATTATACTTTTTGTCCTACACATTGATGGGTATCCAACAGTTTTAGCCACATATTACATGAAATCGATTGAAATTTTTAAAAAGAACTTGAAGTTATCATTGCGTGTTATAATAAACCAACTTGAATTAATAGACCATGCTTGTAGATATTATTAGTTCCCATAATGTATCATAAAATAATTTTACAAAAGTTTATTGTAATATGGTTTATTAATATTATGTATTTGGCAGCAATGTTTATAAAATACAGTCCTTGATGACTAAATTATTGAGACTTTCTTGGTTTACGATTAAAAATATCCAATCGACAATGAAAGGTTGGCTAAGTGTAAATACTCTCCGTTTTGCTAAGTGGGGACATACCGGGTGTAAAAATGATTGGGGGAAGGTGACTGAAACTAGGAGGTATACCTGTGATATGGGTGAGTAGGAGAGGAGGAGATCTTTTCTCTATTTTCATTTTTAATAATTGTCATTTAATGAAAATATGTATATCACATAAAACATTTCATGTTCTAATTGTCATGAAATAAAAGTCCGAAGACTCAAATGTCAAAACAAATTGGAAACAGTTATGAGTACAGGAATTTTTAATAGAATTTTTACCAATACTGATGTGACTGCAGATGATTATATTTTTTTCTCTGTGTCTTCTAATCCAATTCCCGTCATGTGTTGTTCGTCAAAGGTTTCTATCAAAATTTTCTATGCTTGTAACACGACTGAAACAAATTAGTCGCGTTGAATAACTTGAAAGCCTCGAAACTTAAATATCAAGTAAAAATTAGTTGGTACCCAAAGTACAGATTTATGCATTCAAGCATAAATTCACAATAATTGACAAATTATTTTATCGTCGACAAATATTGACAGTTGAATCGATAACCCTCTTGTCTTAAGTTTTCAATCATTTTTAAATTTAATTTTAATCTAGCAACCTAATTATACACAAATGATCCACTTGTCCATGCCAACTCTAAATTTAGAAGAAAAAGGTTAGTAAGTGAACTAATTAACAGTCCTCTTTTCACCCACCTCAAGAACACATGTCCCACCCAAAATTAAATGGGAATGAAAACAAATGCCTTTAATCTACGAATTCTTATTTGAGGGGTAGGTAAAATTCCTAACCTTTTTTCCGTCAAAATCAATTGAGAAAGTCTTAGTATTAGACCATTTGCGTCTTCTTTGTTGAAAAAAGGTACACCGGTTTGTTGGAGATGTTCACCATCCATATATATAATTTACAAAATCTATGAACTTCCACTAAATTCTTAAAATTTGACGACATCTTTTCACACTTCGTTGACATTTTTTATTATGTTTAAAAGTTGTATTTTAGAAAGATGGTTTTTTAATGAAAAAATAATAATTTTAAGAATTATGTTTGTTAAAAAAAATTTAATTTAAAGTAAGTTTGGTTTGCCTTTAAGCACGACCACACGTAAATATTAAGCAGAATGAGTAAAAAGATTTTACGTGTCGTTTTCTTCTTAATGATATTAGCCATGTTTAATTAATTTACGGGTTGTAATCTATCTTTATAACCATCTTACATCATGATTGATGCATTTTTCCAAAAATTTCATGCCTTCCAAAGACTTAAAGCTTTGTGGTTTGGTAATAAAGTTAGGGCATTAAAAATTTTTGTGGAAATATCATAGTTAAGTAAGCACTACACAATTATTAAAAGATTATTTGCAAATCAATCGAATAATTGCTTAAGCAATCCATTATTTTTGGCATTTGCATCTGTCAGCTAAAAGTGCTTGAAACTTTTGCAAATCAACTAATTAATTAATTAGTATATTAATTTCTAGTCCTTGCACTATCAACTCATAGTGTTTTGAAAAATTTAAGAGTGACTTAGTATCGAAATTAAAATGAAATGAAGACATTTATTTTCTCAAAAAATCGGGTAGTAAAAATAAGGACTTTTATTCAAGAAAACTAGATAA